GCACAGACCAAAAAGATGCGATAAATCTCGAGTATAGGGCTCTGTATCGGACCCCTAAACCCTAAACCCTGAACCCTAAACCCTAAACCCTGAACCCTAAACCTGAACCCTGAACCTCAAATCCTGAACCCTCAACCCTAAACTTGAACCCTGAATCTTAAACTCTAACACCTAACCCTGACCCTGACAAAGCTCGGCCTTTGGGTGCTTCTTGAGGTACGTCCTGAGCTTGGCCGTCTAGGTTGAGACTTGTGGGCTAAGGGTTTGGGCTGTTGGGTTTTAGGCGTTTAGGGTTTAGGGCAATTTTTGGGGCTGTGGGGTGCAGCTGGGCTTGGTTTACAGCTCATTTGGGTTTGTAAAACCCTATAAACCCTAAACCCCTGAACCCCTCCTAAACCCAAACCCTAAGCCCTAAACGGCATAGGAGTCACAACGATGCAGGGCTTACCGTCCCGAGAGGTTTGAGGCTTCCGGCAGGCAGAGTTCTCAGGAGTGTCGTCTTTACGGGCTCTTCGGATCTAAGTACTAGGTTGGTTTAGGGTTTAGGGTTTAGGGTTTAGGGTTTAGGGTTTAGGGTTTAGGGTTCCCCAGTAACCCCTTAATAATATGGGCAGCCTTGTTCCCAAAAAATTCGGCTTTAATGAACAGACCTCCAAATAAAAAGGGCAAAGTATTACTGGGGAACCTAGAGTAAGGCTTCCAGTTTCGCTGCTCAGGGTTTGGGGTTCAATCTAGGACATTTTCAGGTGGGTAGTTACCGTTATAGGAGCCTTATAGAAGGTCTTTTTACCTTATAGAAGCCTCATAGAAGCCCTTTTTGCCCCAAACTCCCCACCTGTAGGTTCCTTTAATTCAGGGTTGTGGGATTTCAGGTGCAAGTAAGGGTTACGGCTGTAGTGGTTTGGAGCATCTTGGCAACGGTTTAGGGTTTAGGGCTTTGGGATATCATGCCTCGGGGTCGTTGGGGGGATTAGGGCATACTCGGAAGGGTCTGATCTTTCTGGCGTTCGAGTATCGGGTTCAACTCGCCAGGAACATCTGGGGCAAGGCTGCTCAGGCCCTATATAGTAGGTTTCTGGGACTTTGGGACCAAACTCAACCCCAAATCCTGAACCCAAGAACCTGCTAAGTTATGAACCCGGAAGCCGGAGAACGCCTTCGTGAAACCTGCACATGGCACCACACACATCACCACACCCTAAAACTAGTATGGTAAAGCTTGATCCCTAGCCCATGAACCCTAAAACCTAACGTAGACATTAAACCCAAGACCAAACCAGCGGCGCCGCTCAACGACCTCCGGCACAAAAACGTTCGAACCCGCTAGGAACACACATGAAAGTCCCAACCACAGCCCGCAACACTGTCTGAAGCCCCCCCAAGCCCCAAACCCTAAACTCTAAACCCCTAAGCCCCGGTGCTGTAGGGCATTTCAATCAAACTGGGTGGTCAACACCAAGGCGCGCTTTGGCCTCTGCGATCTCCTCCTCCGACTCAATCGGAACTGCCTTGTCGGAGCTCTGCAACGAATGTAGGGTTTAGGGCTTATAGGATATAGAGTTTAGGGTTTGGGGTTTAGGGTAAATGTAGGGGCCCGAATGACTAGAATAGAATTTTTGGCTCCTTATAGTAATGTTGCAAGAGGTCGGAGGACCCAAACTCAAGGCCCCATAACTGATACAGGGCTTGCAGATTTCAGGGGGACTCTCCAGGATTTTATCATGATATAGTCGGGAGGCATGGTGTTCCGTGGTCCTACAGGTACTGACCGGGATTGTCCTGCAAGGCACATGGAATGCAAGGGTTCACGGCCGTGGCTTCGCATGGCTCCTGGTTTGTGCGCTGGAATCACGCTTAAAGGTTTCGGTCCAGATCCTACTGTCCGATATCCAACATCTACGAGGTGTGACCACATGTGTATACATACATATATACATACATGCATACTTACCTACTTACTTCCTTCCTTCCGTCCTTCCTCGCTTCCTTCCTCCCTCCCTTCCTTCCTTCCTTCCTTCCTTCCTTCCTTGCTTAATTACTTACTTTCTGACTTACTCACTCAATCACTCACTCACTCACTCACTCACTCACTTACTTATCTATTTACTTGCTTACTTCCCTACCTGCCTACCTACTTACTTACTTGCTTGCTTACTTGCTTACTTACTCACTCCTTTACTTTACTTTACTTTACTTTACTTGTCTTACGCACTGATTACTGACTCAGTCACTCACCCACTCACTCACTCGCTCACTCACTCACTTACTCACTTAGTCACGTACTCACTTACTCATTCACATATTCACTTACTTACTTACTTACTTACTTACTTACTTACTTACTTATTTACTTACTTATTTACTTACTTACTTACTTACTTACTTACTTACTTACTTACTTACTTACTTACTTACTTACTTACTTACTTACTTACACGCATACATACATACATACATGCATACATACTTACTTACTTATTTACTTACTTCCCATGCATGCATGCATACATACACACAAACACACACACACACACACACACACCCGCGCGCGCGCACGCACACGCACGCACACACGCGCACACACACACACACACGCACACGTAGTTTAGTTGCCATGATTCTTTTGATTCCGTTGGCACACGAGTAAAATTGTCATGGGGTTATCCGGTCCTTTTATTTGTATTATCATCATCGTTGTTAATGATGTTGTCATTGTTGTTATACTGCTTTCATTATTATTCTTGTAGCTATTGTTATTATGGCAATTATAGCCACTATGGTTATTATTTGTTAATGTTAGTATTGTTATTGTTGTTATTGGAAGTATGATTGTAATGATTGTCATTATTGTTATTGTTGCTATTATTGTTGTTATCTTTGTTATTGTTATTACTATTATTGTTGTTATTATTATTGTTGTTATTATTATTGTTGTTATTATTGTTGTGAATATTGTTAATACTAGTATCATTATTACTTTTACTATCATTAGTATTGTGATTGTCATTATTCTCTGTAGGTCTTCGACAGTCCCGAATTGGCACTACCTTCCCCCGAGCAATTTGACCCTGCCCAGAACTTCGAGCAGCACAGCGGCCCTGAACAGTACAACACTCGAGCGATAAGTTGTTCGCCACCTCCCTGTTTTTGCACCGGGGAGGCTCTCTTTGACCTCACCACGCGGCAGGTTGCTGGGTAGCAGTGCAGTTTGGGCTTGGGTCCACAAGGGTTCGCGCCAAGGCCCTGAGCCAGCATAGCATCAGTGAAGTCTTCCAATCATCGAGTTTTGCCAGGTCATCACCCGGGACCGACAAGGAAAGTTGCCGAGGGGCCCTCAGTTGCCGCGAGAAGGGGATGACCTGTACCGATCTGTATCACGATTACGCTGACTTGTTGTTTGTGTTCTGCACCCTGAGAAAAAGAGAAGAAATAGTATCGGAACATATTCAGGTCGCTATGCAGGGGGGTTTGCCACCTAATGAGTGCTTGACATGCTGTTGACGATATCGACCAGCACTGACTGCTATCATCCTGAACTAGATAGATGAAACCTCACTGCAATGCCAGCCAGCATGAGTCTTAAGGACACGGCTCAAGGCGGGGGAGCGTTGAACAGATCTCGCTTCAAGGGAGGTTGAGGTTTCACTTACGATTACGATACTGTTCTCCCCCCCTTTGCAAGGGTTGCAGATCCGGGCAGGATTATTGCCGAAAGCGAGATCTACAGCAAGCCATCTCAGTCTGTTCGTTGTAGGCTTGAGCGCTTTGTTGTGTCCACGGTTCCGGGCAGATAGTGCCGCTGCTGCATTACAAGCCCAGAACCCCATGCGTGTTCCCTGACAGGTCGTGAAGGCCAAGCGATCTGTCAACCTGGATGCCTATCGCGATTCTTGACAGGAGCAGTTCAGTGTAGGCGTTCGTTCTTGGCTGCATTCGTGGCACATCGGTACATTGGACTAGTAGCACCAGCATTGTTGGTATCATGATTGCAACTATTGCCAGTATGTCTCGTGCCTTCATGTATTGGATTGTTTTCGCTGAACACGGCGACGGTGACGCATCGACGACGACGGCACTGCTACTACTTCGAGCACAAGCGACCACGGCTGCTGCGACTGCTGCTGCTACTGCGGCTGCTGCAGCTTCAGCTGGCACGACGACGACGACGACGGCGACTGCTACTCCTGCTGGTCGTTCTTGAGCTAGTGATGTGATTAATTTGCATCTGCTTCCTTGTTTCTCATACTTCGGTAGATGTCTGAGTGGGCGTTCAGAGGGTTTTCGGGCGTGTGGTGACCTAGGCCCAGGCGGTAAAAGAGGGAGTTGTCTGAGCGCGCTGAGGCCTACTACGCCCGCCGAGCAGAGACCCTTGAAATGGCATTCACGGGGGCTGCGTGGGGGTTTTGCAGGGCTTCTGCTCTGGAATCAGTTTGGACGGGGAGTCGGGAGAGAGCCTCAAGAGTTTCAACAGCCCGCGGGCTGATTAGAGATATGCCTTGGGATGCAGGCTGCTTTCGAAAGGGAGAGCAGCAGGAGCAGGAGCAGTAGCAGTAGAAGCAGTGCTGCTACTGGTAGGTAGTCGTGGTCGTGTGGTCGTGGTAGTGGTAGCAAAAGGAGAGAAACAAGAAGAGCTGCAGGCCGTGCCCGGCACTGGAGTAGGTATGGTCCTGTTTCCTGTGGTAGCGGTTTCGGCGTCGTAGTCTGCGTTGTCGCACTCGCCGTGGCAGTCCATAGCACCATACTCCCCGTCGTAATATGTCGTAATGATGTCTGATTGAACCGGTCATGACATGGACATGCAAGAATGGTAAGGAGCATAACAGAACAAGAAGTTGTGAAACTTGGGAAACGCTCAAGATAGGCAGTTCTGATCACTATGATCGCCGGGTGCCATCAACACACCACCTGTCAATCCGTAGGTTTTCAGCCATTGCCCTGAAGCCGTAAAGCCCGAAAGCTCCGAATCCGAGCCCTACGCCTTGATTGGCGAGACACAGCAGCAGAGGATCGAACAAGCCCTGGCGCAGCCAGCTCCGGGCACGGAGACTGCGACGCGCCTGGACGACTGCCTTACCATAGGCCCAGGGCGTCTTGGGGTAATGGCTTCTGTACAGCTTCGCTGGGCCTCTCTGGTACAAGGATTCCTGAGTTCTAGGGCTTACCCTAAACCGTGAAGCCCCACGAAAGTAACCTCGAAAGCACAAAAACAAAAGTAAACCCTTTTAAACCCTTTCAGCCTATAATATTTCAAGATTTGTACATCCAGCCTTGGGGCCCTTCAATCCCAACCTCCAGAAGCGCCTCTCAGCCTCCGGTCCCGGTGGACAGGGCCTACCGGCTGCTACCTCAGCCGAGAGCTGCGCCTGATGCAAGGCCTAGGAGGGTTTCGGGGATTCTGGGTTCAGGTTTATAGTTGTGTAGGATTTAAGGTTGAGCGCGAGGTGTAATTTGGGTTCAGAGCTCAGGGTTTTTGCAAGGTGTTGTTTCTTGGGTTGGGCCCGAAGTCCGCACCCCTAAACCTCAAGCACGTTTCGAAGTTAGGCGCAGCGAGCTCTGGGACGTACTGAACGAATTTGAAGCGTCAAAACAAAGTACCAAGATTATTCCTTGGGCCTCCTAAATTATCCATGTATCCTAAACGCACAACTATTTGAATCGCGTGCATGACAATCCCTGGATTAGGGGGTTTGCGGTTTAATTTGGAGTTTCAGGGTGTTGGGCTTGGGGCTTTCGGCCCAGAGAAACCCAAAGCCCTTGATGGCGGAACATACCTTCACCATTTTGTATTTAACATCCGAAGCCCTAAACCCTAAACCCTAACCCTAAAATACTTAGCAGCATGTTCCTTGTCATGCATGGCAGCCCCCGAAACTCTAGGGGCTTCCCATCGGGGGCCCCTTACTTTGGGTTGGGCTTGGCAGCATGGATCCTGTTCCGGGTTGCTATGAGGATCCTTCGTCGTCTGAAACTTCTATGTATGAATGATATGGAATCTTGACTAAGCAATAATAATACTGTCCGAAGAAGTATTGCTGTACTATCTATGACATATTCCAACAGCCTATTCTAAATACTAAGGCCCTTACAATAGCATTGCCGATGATGATCCAAAGGACAAGGCAATAATAATAATAATATCATCATCATCATCATCGTCATCATCATCATCGTCCTCTGTGTCATCATCGTCATCATAATCATCGCCATCGCCAGCAAGAGACAGACTGAAGGTCCCTGAAGGCTCTTCGACCGGGGTTCGCAGCCGGGGTTCGCAGCCAGCCTAAAAAACACGAGAGAGGAGGAGGCGCGAAGCCGGGGGCCCCAAGCCTCAGACTTCGTGGCACCCTTTTAGACTCGATAAAGCCCAAAGAGACTCCAGAAGCTTTGCAGTGATCCGAAGCGCCGTAAGTGTCTCCCGGAAGGGGTTTGGCTCGATGCCGACACTGGCAGCCGGTGGCTGATCGATGGTGACCAGGCTTTCCGAAACTTGAAGGTCGTGCTTTGGCTCATTGTAGTTCAGGGTTCAAGGGTGGGGAAATGAGAGGGGAGGACTATGACGGGGGTTGATGTTGACGACGATGATCATTGAAGGCGCAGGATTTATGATCAGGCCTGTTTTCAGGTTTTGGGACATCTGGGCTGTCTTCTTGGTTTTCAGCTCGTTGGGCCAAGAAAGGGTGCTCCATGAAATGCCGGGGCTCAGAGCTCTGCGCTCTTGCTTAGCCCCTGACATAAAGCCGAGGGCAACCCACGACCTAGTAACCCAGTACTTGGTACAAGTTAGTTAGAGGCCTGAATGATGTTCCCAAGAAACTTTGCACCGCCGTACCCATAACCCCGAAACCCCATGGAACCAAGGCGATCATGTAAGCGTCGAGCGCGAACTTTCCTGCTGTATGGGGAGCTGGGACGCAGATCCTCCAAAACCCTAAGCCACCTACCCTAAACCCTAAACCTCTAAGAAGACATCCTGAACCCGAGACTTGACTCAGAGCCGCAAAGAGCTGAAGCCGTCAAGCCGAAGCCTTGCTTCGGCCGCCGAGCCCGCAAACTTCAACCACGGGACCCTGAGCCTCAACTTGGGTACTGTAATGGTCGGAATACTTACCTGCAATATGCAATATACCCCAAAACCTCTTTCGGGGGCTACGTTTAGTTCAATTAGGACAGGAAAAAAGGCACCAGTGTTTCTTTGTTGTTTTCTTTGTTTTACTTAGACCAACTAGCACCCAGGGCAAGAAGGCAAATCAAACGAAATGAGAAAGAGCGTGCGTTTTGTTCCTCTTCACTTACCTCTTTTCGTTTCATTGGTTTAATTTGAGCTTTTTCACTTTGGAATCGCATGCCAGGTACGTTCTATTTCTCTTTCATGTAAGTAGCTCTTTTTCAGAGGAATAAAAGGCAGGCTGTGTTCTAATTACGAGCAACAGAAACACGCGCTACACTTGTACTCTTTCTTGTAATTAGAGGCACAATACAAATGAAACAAGGAAGCGTCTGTAAGGTTGGGACACGAGACCCTTGAGAACTTTGGATGTAGAACTCAAGCGCCTTTGGTACCAGCCTGGTGATTCATTCCGTTCCTTTTCGGTTTTCTTTTGCTTGGTTCTCTTGCCTCTTTCTCGCTTGCATTGGAAAAGAGCCCAAAGAACTAAAGCAAAAGGGAAACAAGAGTTCCTCTCTTCATGCCATAAAAGTGTCCCTGTAGTAGTTGTTCTTATGCCCGACTTCGGCAAGTTTCATCTCATTAGCCATAGTTTGGACAAATCCGGCTCTCCAGGCGTCACACCCCACCCCTAAGCCATGTTGGTGCGGAGAGGGGCGAGTCTCCAGGTCCCAAGCCCCAATCTCCAGTTCCGAAACCTTCGAGGATGCTGAAGTAGACAACTGCCTGCGCTATTTGTAAGACTGTGCCCCCAAACCCTGTTCAAGTTGTTAAGGGCTCTATATTCCACCATACTCAGAGTATAACACACCCCAAAGCGCTCCATTCTAGTTATTCGCGCCCCAACTGGATCCGATCACTTGGGAGGTCTACCGAGTGCCCGTCCTGGCAGCACAGCTCCTCGATCCGACCAAGGCCTGCAATTAGGTTATCCCCCATCCCCTATGGCTCCTTTATAGCGTTACAGAACTATACCCTCAACCCCCGCTCTAATCATTGAGGCCCCTTTCAAACTTTCTTCCCCCATATCACATTTTTTTCGTTTCTTGTTGTGGCGGGTCCTTGTTAAACAAGCAAGACTCCGCTTCAATAGATGCCCAAAGGCCGTAAGCTTGGGGATGCTTTGGGGGTTTGATCCTTTGATGGAGGCTTTGAGGCGCGAAACTCCAAGCACTGCTAGTTCTACCCCAGGTGCAAGTACTACATACATCTTCTAGCATGCATGCCATTGCTTGTGACTGGTACCAAGTGCTTTTACTAGCCTCAGTGCAAGGATCAGGCCCAGTGACAAGTCAAATCGCTGTAGTCCAGCTTTGCAGGGTGAAAGGCGTGAAGGGTTCAGGGTTTACCGGCCCCAGGGTTTAGGATCTGAGGCTTAGGACTGAGGGTGTTTAGGGTTTAGGGCCTCAGGATTCAAGGACTACGGGCTTCGGGGTTAGAGGCATTACTGTAGGGTCTTAGGCTTTAAGGGTCTGTGGGTTTTCGGTCCCTGTGTTTAGGCCCAAGACTTTCCTCTCTCTCTCTCTCTCACCCTCTCTCCCTCCCCCTGTCTTCGTTCCTCTACCAGTCAAGCCTTGCTTTTTTCATTGGGGGGAGTTGGGTGGGGTGATGGTTAGGGCGAATTTAGGGCCATGGGCAACCACCTCTGCAGTGTCTCATGCCTCCAGGCTGCTGCCATCCACGACAGTGAGGACTCAGTCGGGAAGCCGCACGGTTTGTTCATGGTTCAAGTTCCGTGCTGGATGTCGTTTTCCGTGCCGGTTTGATAGGTTGACTGCCATAGCTGACAATACGTCACAATAGCGAACAGCAGCAGCAGCAACAACAACAACAACAGTTGAATAATTGACACTGTAGGGGGAGCGTAGCGATAGCCGGCAGCAGGAGCAGGAACAAGAGCAGGAGCAGGAGCAGCAGCAGCAGCAGCAGCAGCAGCAGCAGTAGCAGCAGCAAAAACCATAATCCTGACGCAGGATGTGCAGCAGCTGCGCCCGGTCCAACAGCCGGTGGTTGTCTCGGTGGAAGTAGCTGGCCATGGCCCCAGCAGCCAGACACGATTGAAGAAGCAAACAAGAGCGAGAGAGAGAGAGGCAGATTTTTTTTTTTTGTGTGTGTGTGTACTGTCTTCAACCCTATCCTAAAGACGGTTTGCGGGGTTTCCAGGACGAAGTTCGATGTGTCTCCTCAGCTGCCAAACTCCCCGTCAGTGGGGCCCAAGGGCCTATAGTTTGGCCAGAAATCGGAAAGCGCCTTCCAAATTCGTCGGACATTTTCACTGCAGGATCCCTAAATGTAAGGGTCGGAATAATTAGCAATCATATTCTCTAGGGTTCCCTATTCTAAGTGTACCACAAGAGACCACAGTCCTACTCTAATTATTTCGGATCCTATTTGAGCAAACTTGAGAAATGGTCTGGGGCCTTGGGAAGAGTTAGCAAGACAAATTGGCTTGTCATGATATTATGGTCGTCTGAATGGTTACGAACAGCATTCGAATAGAGTCGCCTTTAATTCCCAAACCCTGTTCGAATCATTGATGACGATGCCTCTATACTACGTCATTTGCCCTGAAAGTTTAGCCTCCCAGATCACCGAGCATGGTGAGTTTGTGCGCAGGGTCCCATCAGGAGATGCATGATATGAAGGCGGGTGGACTTTTGCTCGGTCGTTCGAGTCCTAAAAAACATATTGTTGTTAGTAGCAGTTCATGATTACTAGGTTTAAATTGAAACTTTTTTGATTTACAGTAACTATTGGAAGAGAATCTGAGAAGAGGAGAGCAAATTTGCGAATAAGTTCAAGACCCGTGCCTTCACTAGTGGAAGGGATGTCGAACAGAGTGCTCGGCCATGGCCCCTAAAATGGCACCAGTGCGGTGGCAACCAGAAGCACCAAGCGAAAGATGCCACCAACTTCGCACCTAAACCCCAAGTAGAGGAGCCGTAGACGCCGGCGAGCCCTAGACAAAGTCTTTCCCCCAGGCCCAGCAGAGATGCGTCCACGGGTCCCTCAGTGGCCTCGGCAGCAAGATTGGTGCGTCTGTGCGTCTGTCTCTGTCTGTGTGTGACAGTCAGTGTCAGTGTGTGTGTGTGTGTGTGCGTTTGTTTGCGGTTGTGCTTGTTTTTGTAGTCTTTTCTGATTTCATGCTTTGCCTTTCTGGGCTCCCCTTGTGGTTTACTGTGCACACGGTTGTCTGGTAAGGTTACCTATTGGGCTGGTTTGAAGGATTTGGTTCAACGCCCGGAGACCTGAACCCAAAACACCTAAACCCCTAAACCCTGAACCCTAAACCCTAAACCCCAAACCCTAAACCCCAAACCCCTACACCCTAAACCCTAAACCCGAAACCCCTACACCCTAAACCTAAACCCCAAACCCTAAACCCCAAACCCTTACACCCTCAACCTAAACCCGAAGCCGTAAACCCCTGTTCATTCCAGCTGCCTGCTCGCCGGAGGTTCGCACGCGAGGTCCGCAAGCAGGCGAAGGATGACGACCCACAGCCGCACCTGGAGTCGGAAGAGTTTCTGGTTCGTGTATACTTTTCAAAAGGAAATAACAGTTCTCAACTGCCTTCAAGAACAGATGGCAAGCAGTGCTCGTATTTCAGATGTCGCGAAGTTTGGAATAAAATTAAAGATATTGCGTTATATTTGCTGCTTTTCGAATTGAGCTGTTCTCTCCTATTGTCAGTAAGTACTGTCGTTGGCAAGCTCTCATGCCACCACCATGCTGTTTGCATGCTCATGAATAAGAGGGTATAGCACGACTCTATTCATCTTCTTGATGTACATGATAGCCTTCTTCATCATATTCAATCATCATCGTCCTGGTCGTTGTCACTATCATTCAGATTGATCATGTTGCCATGCTCTTCCTGTTTGTCCAACCTCCTTCCTTGTATGTCCTACTCAAGGAGGACTGCGAGGAGAACCCGCAAGACAAGATGCCCGTCAAGGCGACGTACCACGGATGGTGCGTGCCTGAGATGAGAGCACGCAGTCGTCAGGTCAGAGGTTTCTTGGCCAGCTCTGCCAGCCCATATTGTCGTCGGAAATCCCTGAGCCCGTAACCCTAATCCCCGAACGATCTCAGTTGGAAACATCCTGCAGCGACCAAAGCCTGATTAAGGGCTCTAGAGGATCCAGTGTGTACTGGGTCTTCTTTAATTTACGGCTTAGAACTCAGGGAAAGGTGCTACGAGCAGTTGCACTGACAAGGGAGATGCGAGAGGACGAGGAAACACACTCACCTTTATTGCAGCGATTGCCTAGCAACTGCAGTTATGCTGCTGGGTGATAGTAACACCTCAAACCTGAGCACGGACCGCAAAGAGGGCTTGCTGCAGAACAGAAGCTTCATACCAAGAGCACACCGAAGCCTAGTCCGCCTACTCGCCAGGCTGGATGAGTCAGGCTGCTCAGCTCATCTTCAGATGCGAGGGGCTGCGAGTCATGGACATAGTGCAATGCTGCAAAGGTACTTGCAGCTTGGTATAGTATGGTACTAGGTTTGATGGTACGCTGCAACGCAACATATATTTAGAGGCTATATGCTTTTTATATAGAAGGTATATCACATGTTGCACAACATGCATCCCGTCGATGCCTCATGCCCCAATGCAGGGGTCCGAATAATTTGTCGTACTATCCCCTTGCTGTCCCCACAAGTTCGAAGTGGAATACACCCCAAAGCCTGAATCTAATGAAGAAATCCCCTAAAAGATGCCTGCACGTGCTTTCGGTCGGGTTGAGGGTTTCAGGTCATGGTCTAACTGCTACTGCCTTTCTCTTCCCGGCCTCTGAAGTAGGGCGGTAGATCCAGAAGTTCTTTCTTGTCATTGTGCTGAAGAGGAGTAGCTGCGCGCATTCAGGCGGTTTCGCTTAAGAGTCTATTGCCAACACGATACTTCATGGAACTGAGATCTGACGAGTGGCTCGTCTTTTCGCAGGTCCTATATCCCCAACTCTTGTGTCAGAAAGAATGCTGAGACCGAGCAGCCCAATCACTCTTCTAGTCAACCGGCCGGGAGAATCAACGGATTCATGGCGCAGTCCCTCTCGAGGTATGCGGGTGACCTGGCGCTGTGAGAAGCTCCTTGGCCCACTGAGCCTATGGGTGTCTGGGTAAAATCTTGAAGGCTTTGGGGATCAAAAGAACTCTACGCTCTCAAGGCTACATATACTGGAGCCTAGATTGGGGCTGCTCTGGATTGGGAATCCCTTTACGTAGCCTTGGGGATTTTAAGCCTCTATGGGAATTGGCTGTTGGCCTGGCGTTGCCTAAAGTTCACTTACTACACACGCGCAGATGGTTGCATCCCCTGAAGCCCGGCACAAAAGCTAACTTCCGTAGCATGAAGCGAGATTTGCAGTCTTCTGGGGGCAGGACTCATTTTCCTGGCGAGCCTTTTCTGACCTAAACACCCCAATCTCTCTGAACTCAAGCAGACATGACAAGCAAGGCCATGAACTCCTCCATGCTAGCCCTGCACCCAAGACCCTCGAGCCTGAGTCTTATTTCGTGAATTGCCCAACGCTTAGCAATCTAGACACCTTCAGGACAGCGACCTTCTTCTCCTGGGAAAGGGAGGCCTCCTTCCAGGGCGTTTGGCGCATTGCTGGAAGCCTCCTGGCAGATCTACAAGAAGAAACCTTAGTGCTCAGCCTTGATACAGCCTGCGACCCCCATTGATGGTGCTTGTCGATTGAAAACTCCAGGCTATTGCTTGCTCATGCACATCGACGCTTTCCGCGAGGGGGCCACACATTTGGACAGTCGGAAAAGCCGGCGGCTGGGACAAGGTTTTGGGTTTCGGGGGGGGTGGATTTGGAGTCTCGGGTTCAGGTTTGAGGGCTTATTTGGCATTTTCGGCTTGCGGGGCCTAAGGCAGTATTGAGAGACAGACCTTCGTGGTCGAGAACCTTTGATCCCCAAAGCCTACAAGCCCGCTGTGGCCTGTAAGCGCTTCTAAGCCAACCCCAGCTTTTGTGTAGAGGTCGGAAAGTCTGAAGACTTGCTGGTAGTATTCGCTTATAGTCCCTGTATCAAGCAAGTATAGTACACCCCGCTGCTTTAATCCAAGAAGCAAGGCCCCTATGTTAGACCCGCACAGCAACTTTTCCATAATGGATCCTTTCACAGGAGCCCCATTGAAACTGTGAAACCCACAATGTCACAAACCCTGGGCCACCTAGAGACTTCCTGTTAAGGTTGGGCAAGGTGTCGCGATCACGTCGAGGCCGGGCGAAGCTGTGAGACAGGTCAAGGACCAACGGCAGGTCCATGGAGTTAGTCTGCGGGGTTCAAATTCAGTATGTATGTATATATGCATGTAGGTAAATAGATAGACGGACAGATAGATAGACAGATAGATAGATAGATTCGCACCAGAAAAGTATTTGATACAAGTGTCAATACATGTACACATACATACACGCATACATGATCATACATGTACATATTCATATAAGTATACGTATACATAGACGTAGACATAGACATGAATATACATATGCATGTGCATGTATATGCACGTGTATATGTATGTATAGATGTAGATGTACATGTATATACACATACACATACACGCACACGCACACACAGACACACAGACACACACACACACACACACACGCACCCACACACACACACACACAGACGTACATACGTACATACATACATACATACATACATACATCCATGCATACGGACGTACGTACGTACGTACGTACGTACGTGTGCATATGCAAAAGTACATGCACATCTTCTGCAAAGAGCCGGTGTGTTTGTATGTGTGTGTGTGTGTCTGTATATATATATATATTAATTATGTACGTCTAGAATGACGGGTAGACTGTTTCGGTCTAGGGCTGCTCCTCAGCGACGTCGAGATATACAACATGTGAAGGGTGATCAAGGGAGAGACCGCGGTGATTGACAGCGACTCCTACCAGAACAATGGATCGGCTAGGGCAGGGTTCATGTTGGGCGACGAAGACAAAGATGGCCCTTGACAGTGATGAAAGGTTCCGAAACTCGGCCACTCTAGGGAACAATCTCTGGAAAATTGTCTTCAAAGTCAAGCCCTAAAGCTTGAAACCTAAACGCTAAACCCTAAACGCAGATCTCCAGCTGTTGCTTGTTTAAAGGCGAGGCGTGGTTCGACCGAGAGATTCAGAAGCTATGCGAGGACCCGAGCCTTTAGGGTGATGCAGGGTTTCGAACTTCTGGACATCTGGGGTTTGGGGTCTAGGGTTCCTATACTGGTGACTATAAGAGCCATGGGGTTCAGGATTTTGGGGCTCAGGGTTATCATCCTCAAAGGGTTTTGAGGCTTGCATGTGGCAGAGGCATGAGGAGAACCCGGCACAGCGGTGATTGTTGGTGGATGCTGGGGATGCAGTCTCATTTCCATGCACACGGTGCGGCGATGCTACTTGCTGAGCACTTGCTGAGCAGAATACCAGTTCGCGTTGGTGCTGGATAGGTCTTATTTGCAGCATTCTTGACCTTGTGGCTTTTTCTATCCACCCGAAATCCCGTGGGTGCATCTGGAAATCCCTGTCACCACGACTGAACAATTTCGGTAAGTTACTCCCAGCCCTGAGCCCTATGCCGGCAGCCCTCATTCCCCAATGCTTGACCTTGGAACGCTATGGCGCAGAGCATCTTGCACCAGGAGGGCCGCGATTGCGGAGAGGCGCCGGCACCAACTTATCTGATGCCCCATGGACTGCAGAAAACTTGTGCCCATCCCCAGCCGGGGGAATGGCCATGACATCGAGCTGACAGCCCTGGCATCCTCTTCTCCCCCAGCCACTGGTTGGGGTGTGGGGTTCAGGACATGGCTATCGGCAGCAAAGAACTTAGGGTGTTGATGCTTCGTCCTCCAAGCTCCTTGAAAGCTTGAACTAGAATGTCAGTGGATAAGCTACTGCAAGCCAGCTGCCCTCTTGGACCGGCCCGTGCAATTTCTTGACCATGGCTGTTGGACTTCGGACTTGTACGCACGAGTCGTTCCATTTCAGGATCGACTGTGGAGTCAATGCGCTGATACAATCATCCTGAACTCAGCAGCTCAGAGGAATCCCGAACTTTGAACAATCCCCTGCTGACAGCAGCTTAGGCACCTCGTAGGGGAGTTGTTCCCCATCTGGACAGACATGCTCGGAGCCCAGACAGATCTCTTTAGATGCGCCCAAACTTCTACCCTGAAGCCAAACATCTTGGAGTTTTGGGGTTGATTATAGTGATAGTGCAGTTGCTCGTAGGCCTCGAGGGCCTTAGCCATTTGTGGTTAAGAGTAAATTTCCGGCTTTGTCAAAGCAGAGACTCCTGGGCCCGGGTTGCCTATGCTATCTGCTCCTGGTGATTTATACTCGCGAACCCTGGTCGTCAGGAGTAGTAATTCTCAGTTTGGCTCGTCTCAATTCTTTTGGCCAAACTGTTCGAGGGTCTTCGCGTGTCGGGATGCGGAGTTGAGAACTCGGGCTTTTGGTCTAGAGATGGGTGAATCTGCATCAACAACAACACGGCAGCAGTCCGGAAAGAGTTGGAGACGTTCAGAAAAGTACTTGCTAGTAGGTTGTCGGAACGAGTGGCAATGATAATTAGGCTTAGAACCCTTGGAAGTGTGTTCTGCTTGACTACTACAAAGGGTTTTTGCACTCCGATCAGTAGTAGTAATGGTCGTGACTGCTAAATGGTGTAACCCTGATTGGGGGGCATGCTTCCGACTTGGTAAAATCATTGCAATCGTTTCGTTCATTACTGCGGAAGCGATGACTTCAGGGCATTTCTGATCTGAAGTCTGTTATTTCTCTCCTCCCTTCAAATTCTGTCGTGCAGCAGTTGTCGTTGCTATTGCTCTTGTGGACAACTCTCTTATATATGAGGCGTCGTACTACTGTTTGTGCCTTTGCGGGTTCAGGGCTTGATTCTACACACTAAACCGTCAACTCAAGATCCGATCCTATGCATAGTCGTCTCTTCGGGTGGTTTGGGACTTGAGGGTTTCCGGGCAGTGCGCCCAGTTGTCAGTTCTGGAGAGGGGCGACATTTGTTTTCCGTGCGAGGTCACCGAACATCATGACATTTCGGTCTACGACCTTCAAAGGCCATTGGGCAGGTATTTCTGGCGTGGCTACACTGAAGAACCGTAGATGAACCCCCAGTTCTGATGGCTACTTCGCCTCCAAACGCCGAAGTAACCTTAAACCGAGAGCTCGGAATCCCAAGCATCGCCCACCCCGCAGCAGAAATGCCGATAGCCTACGCACTTAAGCTGTGGGGCCTGGTCGGGGCGGTTCTGCTAGAAATCTGTTGGAGACTGCAGAATCATGGTTGCAAGTTACCGGCGGCTCTGAGGTCGTGTGTTCCGGTGTGATCGGTAGTGACTGACTTTAGTGGGTGATGAAGATACCTCGAGTCTCCGATGCCATACAGCCCGGATCCTAACGGCAAAGACTGTCAGTGGGTACCGAGCAAGAAGCAACTATACCGTCAGGTACAGCCTTCAAAGATGTGCTTGAGAGGGTTCGACGGGGTTTGCTCTCCGGATGTTTGGATCGAGCGCAGAGTCTTATAACCTGAACCACAAATCCCTGAGCCCGTAAACCCTGAACCCTCAACCCTAAACCCTCAAATCCTAAACCCAAACCCTGAACCGTCAACCTTAAACTCTAAACCCTAAACCCTAGACCCAAAAAATCCTAAATCCTAAGCCCCTAAACTCTCGTGAGCTTCCCTAAGCGGCTCGCCAAACCCACGAGGCTTCGTCGACTACGAGGGCTCAGAAATCTGCGCAGAGCCATGGCCGTCCTGGGTGGAAGGGTGTCGGGTTTGGGGTTTAGCGGTTTAGGGGTTTAGGGTTTAGGGGTTTAGAGTTTGTTTAAGGTTTAGGGTGGAACTTCATGGGAGAAATATAGGTGCCTAAATAGTTATCTAATCTAATGATTTTTTGTTTAGGGCTCCTTCTTAGAATGGTAGTGTGATATACACCACAGCCCGAGTCCTACTTATGTAGCTCATTTGGGATATCAAGGGTTGGTTTGAGGATTTATGCAGAGGGTTAAGTGTCTAGGACCGAGTTAAGGCACGTCAAAGCTTAGCTGGGATTCTCGGTCTTGGTGGCGCTGGTGATGATTGTTCTGCTAATTGTAGAAGTCGGTAGAAGAGCCAAGCCCGTCCAAGAAACAGCACAACTACAAGAAGTTGAAAAGCTAGGCAACTTGAGTGGCAACCATAGCATCAACATCATATCTTCGCTAGCAACAGCCACTTCAGCAGCAGGAGCAGCAACAACAAAAACGACAACAAGTACAAGTCATAGCCAGCAGCAATAGCTGCAATGACATCCCGCAATGTTCTACCTCCTACTGTTCCTTTTGTTTCAGATTCAGATTGTCTCTTGCTCGCCTGGCATTGACCACTGCTCTGCTTTGTTCGTGGAGCATCGAGGATAGCATCACAGGAGAGTCAACCCCACAAGTTACGGCCTCAGCGTTTCCACGATGAAGGATCCGGACCGTAAGCCCCAAACCCTAAATCCAAATCGCAAAGCCCAGACCAGAAGCGGGAAGACCCCCTTCGAACCCTTTATAGTATCCCGTTTAGTAGTTCTTCTTAGCTTGTAAACCTACAGTAGCGCTTATAGAAACCCTTAGTAGTTCCTGGACAGTAATCCCTTACAGTAACGCCCTTACCCTTACAGTACCCGTTACTAACCCTTAATTAAACCCCCCAAACAAGCAACCCTCATAGGAACCCGCACAGTACCCCTGATAATACTAACCTTGCGCCCTGAACCCTAAAACCCCAAATCCTCCAAAAGCCAACCGTTTTAGGAACCCTAAACCCTAAACCCTCATCAAACTATTTCGCGTAGGAACCCTAAACCCTTAACCCTTATGGCATTAACTATTGCTGTTACTATTCCTACAACTATTTCCATTACTATTTTTCTTTCTATTAGTTTTACTATCACTGTTTCTATGTGTATGACTATTTCTGTTCGTATTGCCATACACTACTTTTGTCAGCACTACCATTGGTATTCATGATTTCTTAGGAAGCCTCGGATGCCCTGAAGATCGCAGCTTCCCCCAGGAGCCGATGTCCGAAACTGAGCGGCCCCGGATGTCCGCCTTCCGACCCAGGAGGCCTCGCTTTGGTGGGTTTAGGGTTCAGGGTTCGAGGCTTTAGGCTTTAGGTTTAGGGTTGAGGGTTTAGGGTTTGGTTTGGGGTTGAGGGTTTAAGGTTTAGGTTTGTCGCTTGTTTTTTTTTGTTTAGGGTTCGCGCTCGCTTTGGGGCTCAGGGTTCCTAGTAGTATAACAGCACTTAACGAGGTTTCTATCAAGGCTCAGTTAAAGCTTATCACGAAGGTATAAAGGTTCCTGTAACTGGTTGTTTAAGTTTGGGGATGTAGGTATCGAATTTCAGCTTTCGAGGCCAGGTTTCCTCGCAACAACGTTGCCGGAGGCTTTGAACCCGGATGCTGCATAGCCAAGTGATGGACGGGAAGCCAGTCAACTCATAGCCCGGAAGTCAGCTGTGGCAGCTAGGGCATCTATACATAGCCCGGAACCTGCAAGGACCCTGCTCGGCCGTCGCACTACGCACGTGGTGCAGCCCTTTCTGTCCAAGACCTGGGGATACCGCGAGTCGGCGACAGTTGACTTCTGGCTTGCATGCCCATGAGTGTTTGCATCAAGATGGGAGTGAATCAAAATCAACATCGGATTGCCGCACGCCGCATACAAATTGCAACAGCGTACAAACATGGAGATGGCTTTCAAGAACACTGACCTGGTCGCAGCATCAACAGAGACGGCAATGGTCTTAATGTTACTTGTCTTTTGTGCCGATCAGTTACAGTAACCACGACCGACGCGTCAACACATGTGGATGCCTTGCTCCTGCTCCTGCTGCTGCTGCCGCTGCACCACCACAACCACCACCACGACGACGACTACTACAGCTCTGACTCTTGCTGTTGGCGCCCTGCCACTACAACTATTGCTGCCACTAGTACTAGAAAGTAATGAACTCTCCTAACTGCTGCTGCTGCTGCTGCTGCTGCTGCTGCTACTGCTGCTTCTAGCATTGCAACTGCGACGACGCTGTTTTTCCATCTTGTATTCCGCAGCTAGGGGCCGACCCTTTGTGAGGGCTTAGAAGTAGGCGGCTAAGGTTGTATGTCGCTAGGGCTTCAGGAGAAGTCTGGGGCTTTTCGTTTTGAGGACTGAGATGCAAGTTGCTGGGGTACGCCGTTCTTCGTGTTTGGGGTTTGAAGTGGCGGTGCAGATCGAGGCAACTATTCAGGAGGAAAGGGTTTCGGCTCTACCTTGGTCTCGAAGGTTTGAGGTTCAAAGTTCAGCAAGTTCAAAGTTCAGCAAGTTTCAGTGCTCTGAGGATTTGAGTGCCAACGAGCTCAACGTCAAAGCCAACGAGCTCCTTGATGGCCGACCCTGATCTAGAAACCCTAACAAGGTCACCTTTTAGGATTGAGTGGTCAGCAAGGTGCAGGCTGAAGGGATCGCTATAGTGCTGCTGCTGCTGCTACTACTGCTGCTGCTACCGCGACGCGCAGCTGCTGCTCCTCCTCCTCCTCCTCCTCCTGCTCCTGCTCCTCCTCCTCCTCCGACTACTCCTA